ATGGCAACTAGAGATTTATTGTCGGCGAGCGTTAGACTAAATGGAAGTTTAATTTCTTTCTGATTCTTTATTGGTGTAGAAATACTGACTCGAGTAAATATGATGTTCATCGTTGATAAAAAAAATCGATAGTTCGTATTCAAAAATAATGCCGTTCGACTATTTTCTAGTGTTATATTTCGACAACACACTGGTATATATAACCAGTTGTTCTCCGTGGACTGTGTTTTGGTGACAAAATAAAAGAGCAATCTGTGATACAGAAAAATAAATAATAGGCGAGGGTGGGGGTGAGTTTACTAGAGAATTCCAAGTTACTTACGACGATCGTTTCGTCCTTGCTGAAGGGACTCGGCGGATAAGTTCGGAATTTTTGAATTAACTACATTAAATTAAATCCTAACTTAAAAGCTTGTTAGCGCAGCTCCTTCGGAGCTGAAATGTGGAACTCACATATATCCTTCAACCTTGTTATCCTAATACATCATCCGTAAACTGAAAAAACTCTCGTCGACTGTAGTTGTTTTCACTAATAATCGATAACAAGAGCGAGAATTTATTATTTATTTCTACATTTATTTCTACATTTAAAATAATTTTTTTTTTCTACGGACGCCCTATTTTTTGTTTGCATTGTTGCTATTCGCTCATTTTTTTTTATTTTGTTTTTATTCGTGTTTTTTTAATTTAATATTCTTATTATTATAATCATTGAATCGGCAAATCAGTCTATTTTACATATGCATGATATCTACACCACATCTTATGCACTATTATATATATGTTAACCAACTCACAAACAATGATGTTGACTAATCTTCGAAATTATAACTTGAGCAATTTTTCAAACTCTAGAAAATCTGACACCTTTGATTCTCCATTGCTAATGTCTGTAATGGTGGATTGTCTGTAATGAAGGGAGGTGTCTGTAATGGGGGCGCGGGGGGGGGGGGGGGAGTGGGGAGCCGCCGAATATCGAACTTAAAACTTACACTCACTATTTTTTCTTCGAAAATATATGTGAGTTCCACAAAAGAAAGATATGAAAGTCAAAAGGTGAGGGTGTGAGTGTGAGGAGTGAGGGTCGGATGAGGGTCTGAGGAGTGATGGTGAGAGTGAAGGTGGAGGTGAGGATGAGAATAGCTACGATAATCTATATTTCGATTCAGCCACGAAGCTCATGTAACGGTAAACTAAGTCAACCATTATTAAAATCACTGGGTGGGATGTGGGTGTGCGCGTGGATGTGAAGAGAAAACTCACATGCACACTCACCCACACCCACACCCCATACCCACACCCACACACCCACATCCACACACCCACACACCCACACCCACACCCCATACCCACACCCACACACCCACATCCACACACCCACACACCCACACCCACACCCCATACCCACACCCACACCCACACCACACACCCACATCCACATCCACACCCACACTCACCCACACCCACACACCCACACCCCACACCCACACCCCACACCCCACACCCCACACCCATCTGGCACAGACATATATGAAGTTTTTCTGTAAACAAAAAAAAAGTCACGTAGCTTGACTAATCCATTCAAAAAAAATCGTACCGTTTCCTTCCAAAAAAAATTGAGATAGCAAGAGAGAAAGAGAAAGCAACCATACGAACATTGTTGGAGAAAGGATATGTATATATACAAAAAAAAACCAAAGAAAAATCACGATCCACCACAACAATCATCGCTGCGATGAGTTTGTTTGTTTTGTATCACATCAATTGATTGATTCTGATTGGTATTCGCGATTTTTGGATCATTTTTAACTCCATTCCATGTTTGAAAATTCATACAAAATCAGTATTAAATCAAAGTGAATTACAAAACGAAACCATACCTATTTTGAACATCAATACGCCCTTCAATTAATAAATCATAAATTTCACGTGCAATAAGTGTAGATGTTTCTTGTACATACAAAAAAGTTTTTGATGATGTTTCAATAAATGATATATTATGCTAATCGGCAAATGTTGTGCCTTCTTCTGTTGTTACCTGAATAATATATGAGGAAAAAAAATAATAATAGTAAAGAGTAAAAGATTCTAGATAAAACTTACTTGTCTTTAAGATTCTCGATCAAGTTTTGTACAGACAAGAAGAAAAACAGATTGATATGGTTGAATTTGTGCACGAGCTTCATTTAACCAACCGGTTACATGAGTAAAACTGACATAATTTATTGTATCATAAATAAGAAGAACACCAACCGAATTACGATAGTATGCACGTGTAATACTTCTACAATTCTACAAATCGGTTAAATAGTTCCGGGAATAAATTTTTAAAAATTCTCAGATTTCTGCAATTAACAATTGCTAATTTTGTATATCTCCAGTAGAGGTGAAGTAGTGTCTGTCTTTCACCTCCGTCTTCTTAGAAATTATTGATTATGAATCTAATATCTGGGTGGGTGGATGTGGGGGTAGGTGAAGAGAGGACTCACACTCTCCGAATCTGAGAACAGAATTTATTTTTAATAATATTTTTATTATGAGTTATTAATAATTATTAGTATTTTTTCTAAAACTTTACCAAAGGTAATTGCAGTCAAGGAGTCCGAATCTGACGACAGATTTTGATTTTATTAATGTTTTCTCATAGAGTATTGATAATTGTTAATGTTTTCCATAAAACTTCACCAAGGAGTAATTGTGCTAATGGGTGTATTATCTTATGTGATATCTTTTCTTTGTCAGTGTATTCTTATACAATCAATGATACGTAGTGTTCACACTCGCGTTACTTTTACATTTATCTATGCATGATTGAGCCTTATTCTCTTACTGTCGTAATGTGCTTGTCATTCTATATCGTCATTCACTCGTATATTATATGTATTGTCCTCACCTATCTATTCTTACGCTATGTTCTTACTCTATTGTTCTTCTATATGTGTTCTCTCCTTGGCCTCATCTTCTTTCTTTTCATCCTCTCTTATTCTACTCGTGTATATAAGCGTGTGCTTTATATGTAAACGGTACGATTATATGATATGAAGGAATAGAATAAAGTGTAACTCCATCGACACTAACATCCCTTCTATTATTTTTCGTCACAGTAATCATAGGTATAAAATTGGAATCTGATGTCACACTTTGATTGTTTAATATCTCTTTATTGAAATATTGATAATTTGACTATTACTTCTCTCCTAAATTCTACTAAACATTCTTTCACTGTCCGAATGTGCTTCTTCTGTGTAAGTGACTACTTCATTTCTGCACGATGTCCACTGATCAGTGTTTCGTGGCACAATATTCAATTCGATGCCCTATGTATTGTATGCAAAATTATATAAAAAATATTAACAATTATTAATAATTTAATAAAACAATAATAATAAAAATAGGTCTCGCGTTCGGATCCCATACATATCATTACCCCACGGGGAAGTTTAATCCTATAGGAGTCTGGGAGTACAGTACTATCAGAGTACGTGAATGACTCAGACTCTCATACTACAAAATGATCCATCCCCGCTGGAGACGAAAACAATATTAGAGTGAGACAAGCACATATATTGCTACATTGTCCCTTCTCTGGAAAGGAATGGAATTACAGTGTGCATGATTCTAACATGAATAATACTGTTAACTCAAATTCGAAAACTCATTCGAACTTCACACTATCTTGCGAAAAAGTGTTAATTCCATCCCTCAACTGCTCGCACGCAAAATCAGCCTAAACATACACATCTCCATACTAAGCTATGTACAAAACACAATGCCACATTCCAGTTTTTGCAATAGTGTTCTCATTACGTGTCCAAACTCTGAAGTGAGTTCCGGCTGCTCAAAACGAAGAACTGAGGGTACCAGGAAACACGAACACACTCAAAAACAGCGCAACACTCGAGGATATTAAGGGGTGGTGGGGTGTGCGTGGGTGTGTGTCCATTGAGTGGGGTGGGGTGTGGGCTTCGGTGATAGGAATATACCCATCCACATCTTTGATAAATGGGTAGGGTAAAACTTTTCCGACTCTTTCGCATTATGTGCTGCGAAAAAGTGTTCCTTGTTGACGAAACACATTCACCGTCTGTCCGAAACTGTTTTCCGTCACGAACGCATTTTGATGGATGGTATTAGGCTCTCTTTCTCTCTTCTTATACATCCACCTGTGATCCTAAGGTTTTTTATTTCCTTTTATTACATAATTTCCAGGGTGTCTAACACTGTTCATCCTGACCTAAACACATTCATTAGTGCGCAGTGTTTTTACCGAGTCGTCTCACTAGTCTAATGGGAGTTTAAATATGTTGTCGTCATTCTCATAACCTTTAATATCACTTGAAACTTTTCGCTCGCATCCTGCTAAATGGCTGGTTGGTCACAGTTCTTGTGCCACTACTATCACTCATGTTTGTTAGAGCAGGACTTTTTCATCTTGACTCTGAGCGATTCGCATGTCCCTTGAAAATTTCAGCTTCAACTTTTAAAAATTTCGCTATTTTCCAAGGCTTTTCTGGATCATGTCAATGAACTGTTCTGAGCTTTTCACCACCTCCCAACAAAGTGATGCACGATCGAAATTTCAGATTCTGACTTTGAAGTACGAGTGATTAGCACTTAATGCTTTTGTGCACTCACTGTTAGGAATTTTGCTATGGTCAGAAGCTTGTTGTCGTTATTGTCACCTATCGCGCTCTGACTTACAAGTTCCCCCCTTTATCTGTGCAGATTGGTTCGCGACCGAAAGCTTTTCCACTGTTACTCTTACTCACACTCAAAGTTTACGATTGTGTTCGTGTGCTTGTTATGATTAATTTTATTAAATTTGCAGTTACATTGTACTGATTTTGGTTTCTTATCTTTATAATGACCGAAATTCATGAGTAGAGTACGGAGAAAAAAATAGACTGTTCGGAGTGTCTTGGTGCTAAGTATGTCACACTTAAAATGTTTGTTTTGCTTTTCGGACTTTTCTAATAATTTACCACGATCAAGTAATTGAAGCCGAAACTTTCTGATTGAAGTTAATTATATATTGCTGTTGATAGAACAGTTTTGCGTCTTACGCCTTGACTTGGTTTTTTTTAATGATTCGTATCTTACTTTTGCAGAGTGTCAAACCTGCATCTTCTGTTGCTATCTGTGTTTGCCATTTTTTGTTTTTTTTCAAACTCTTATCAGATAAGTACTCTATGAGAAGGACTGCATATAATAGCAATAAAATGTTCAGGGTGTGAGATGTGAGTGTGGATGAAGAGAAGATGCAAACGCACCCTACACCCATACCCAACTATTTAAGATTTCAAATGAATAGTCCGTTAGTTGAACCTTGATAGAAAAACACATTCTTATCGACCATGATTTATTCAATTGTGATTATATTCATAAAACTCACTTCATTACACACATTAATCTTGCTGAATTAATAAGGTAATATTTTTTTTTAATTCGAATTAAAATGTATTCCAATACTAAGTTTTGTAAATACTTTTTGGTAAGTATAAAAATGCTCGATGAAATAGTTTTTTTTCATTACATGCATTTCTCCATTTATTGCTACGCTATGAAAATCCATGGATTTCGGAATAAAATTCAGTGCACTTTTATCCTTAATATTAAAAGACATTGTTTGTTTTACTCGTTTACAAAATTGGATTAAATTTTACTTTTTGTGGTTGTGGTTTTCGGTGTCTGTGTGATATTTCTCTACACACTCACATGACCCAAAATGAGCTGTTGTAAAACAAAAGCACTGAAGGAAAATTGCACGGGTTCGAACAGCTTTTTATATCAAAAGTATGTATGTTGGTTGAAGTCTATGAACATCTATAAGAACTTTTGTTAGACATTTCACTTTTCATATAGAACGGAGAAGAGACTTCAATCTTTCGAATTGTATAATCACAGTATATATGATATTCAAGAGAATTCTCTGAAATAAAATTTATTGATACAAACTACAATGCAAATAGAAAACAGAAGAATTTGTTTCTTTTTGTAAAATATAGTGTCCATTTAAACGAAGCGCTTTCTTCTTATAGAATGAGATTACCATTAATTGAGTTCATAATGATTAGAAAGAAAATTATATACTACAGAAAGGCTTAAAAAGAACAGTAGAGTGCAGATGATGATGATACAAATACTGTAGTGTCTAAAACTTCCGATCAGTCTAGGGAAAAACTCAAATAAAATGATGTAGAAAAAAGCATTTATGAAACAATAACGAACAAACGAACACTCAAAGTGGCAAAAAAATTTGGCTTTTAGGATTATATTAGGAAATAGCATGAAGTATTGTGCAGCAGAGAGGAAAACAGATTTGATTAGCAAGAGATTATTCTCCACCGTGCGTAAGAAAAGATATTTGGATCGATACCAACGATATTTGAATTTCGGCATGAAATATTTGTTGATAAATGGTAGTGATCGCTAAATAACAAAATATTAACAATTGTCTTATTTTATGAAAGTAACTTACTTGTTCTCCAATCCACCAATGAATATGATATGAGAAGTTATTATTACTTCGATAATAAATTCGATACGTATAATTATCCTTTGTAAGTCGTTCTGATTGACAAATAATTGAGTATGGACTGCAAGAAAAATTGAGTTTCGTACAAACGAATAAAGAATTAGAAACAAAAGATGCGCTTGATAAATGTTGGAATCCATTGATGAGACGAACCATAATTCGTTGTGATCGAATAGGAGATTTACAAATAAGATGCTGCGTCAATGGAAAAATACGAAATAATTCTTCAATAATATAATCACTATGCTGGTCGGCAATGCTTATTTGAAGTTTACGGATTCGTTCAAATTGAGAAGATTTAAACCGCTCTATAACATTAACTATTATATTCTTGCCTATTGTTAATTCACGAAGATGTGGCATTTTAGAATCCAATGGCATTAAACTTGGCAAATAATCAATTGATAATATAGATAAATGTACTATTTTATTCAGATTAATAATAGGAGCAAGAATTTCGAAGGAAATAGCACATTCAAGGTTAAGTCTTTTGATGTTTGTAAAATAGAGATTATTTTCAATAACGTCTGTGTTTATCGTGATTTCATCTGTACATTGATATATGATTGCGGTGTTCGGTGCTGTTGAATGAGTGCATGATTGCGAAGAAATATTGAGGTGCTTCGGCGTAAAATGTGGTGTCGAAAACAAACAATTGTTTTTATATCCAACGAACCATTGTTTTTCTTCAAGCCAAAATGAATTACGAAATGAATCGAGAGTATTTTCCGTTAAAATATGTAGTGCATCGAACTTGAAATTAAATGAAATAAGAGAATCAGTACATGTTTGCCATCGATATCCATCAAAAAGATTTTTCCAACCGAGACATTTCAGTTCCAAATGCTTTAAATAAGGAAATTTTAACAAGAATCGTTCAATAGTATCGATTGATATACGACAATCTGTAAATCAAAAAGTCAATGTACATTTTCATAGACGCCTTATCCACAGATAATGAATATTAAATTTCACAATAAAATTAGTAAGGTATTTTTCGAATCAAGTCTATCATAAAGCTTAGACAAAAATTTTTATAAAATATCTATTTTTAGACCATCGTGCATCAAATCAAATTATCACCCAAACCTACTTGATGACAATTTCAATTCAATAGAACACATATGAGCTCTTTGTTTTATCCTTCAGTGTAGATGATGAAAAGCAAGAATGTTCTTACAAAACTCTAGGGCGATTGCATAACAAACACTCTGTTATTAATTGTTTTCTCGATTAGACTACATTGGATTATTTCTTCTTGTCTTCAACATACGTTCAGTTTTTTTTTCTCTTTTTTTGTCTAATCAATTAAAATATCCATCAACGTCAAGTGTGTAATTACATACTATGAAATTAACTTTTCACTCAGAATAATCAATTATCTCTTGTTGATATCATTCTATCCTTGGGATCCTAGGTTGTTTCTCGATTATTTATTTACATAGGGTCTTTTTTCTCAATAACTCAATCCGGTAACGTACACGTACTAAGTATTGAAAGTTTTAGTGAAATGTAGACGCTAAAATATGACGAGTTAATGAATTTGTAGAAAGATGTCAAATCGTCTTACAACAAATACAAAATCTTCAGATCGCTCAATGTCTTTTTGATTAAAAACAACAGTTCGAGTTCGACAAGTGATCGAGACAAATTTAGACAGACATTAGTCTTCTCAACCTCAGTAGATGTGTAGACACGATATGCACTTGGTAAATAGCACTGATGATGAGATAAACGGTGAAGTTCATCCTCACTCACCTATGTCAAACCGTAGTTGCTCGTTATCAATAAGCAAAAGGACGGTATCTTTTCAAAAACGCAATAATATGAAATCCAAGACAACCTGCCCCACTTCAAAATAGCTTATTCCTACGCTAACTTGTTCAACTGTGGAGATCATTTGGACAACATCTGTTTTTTTGTATCTCTTCAGTCGTCTCAAATGCACATTCTTATTTCCGATCTTCTATAGCAATCATGTAAAAATTCTAACAACTACTAAAGATTAACTCTCCATTGATTCCTCTTGAAAGTTAATTTTGACGATAAAAATGCGAAATATGAATGCTAACATCATCTAGTTAGTTATCTGATTCATGAGCATCTGCACACATCAAGAAAAAAACCTGGTGAGCGATGGTGCTGCCACTATGAGCCAGTAAAATATTGCTGATGCTGTGATGGCCGATACTCCTTCTCTTGTCACCATTTCTCAATCAATAGAAGAATTAAAAACAAGCACTAATCGAAAACAAAATAGGATAAAATTTCTCGGAGGAATCTTGTAACTAGCAAAGAAAACAGTAGTAGTTTTCATAAATGAAAATAATATGATAAATAATATAGATTTCCGTGGTATTTTTCACGTGTGGGTGTTGCTGAGGGCAAGAACTACACACACTCATACCTGGCAGATATTTTCATACAGTAGACACTCTTGAACAGTTCGAATGAGTCTCATTATGGGAAGGTTTTACTATATATATTTTTGGTTTGATACGTACTCTGAATTTCGACATTAAGTCGAAGTAGCTGATTGTTTGGCACAATAGGTTCAAAATCTAACCAATCTACATCCAAACAAATGTAAAGTGATTTCAGCTGAGATGCTTGCCGAAGAATAGTTTCAAATTGATTAAGTGAACAATTGTCAAGTTTCAGATGACGAAGATGTGACAGCGGTATGGACAGCAGCATATCACCACTGTTTAAATGTAGATGATTGCGTTGAAATACCACTCGACTATAACTATTCATTGATACGGTATTAAGCGCCATCAATTCATCTGGATATTTATGCGAATTTGTTTCAACGTTAAATGAAAGAGAATGCAAATATTTAAGTTTATATAGATTAGAGAAAATATGATTTAATGATTCAAGTTCAATGTCGATTAATGTAAGTGATTGCAAGCGTGTGAACTGTTCGATTCGAAAATGAGAAAAGAAGAGTTTAGATTGGCCAGAAGTATCATCATTGTCTGAGATTTTAAGAGAAATAACTTGTTCTGGTTGAATATATCGACAGAGAAAATCAAAATCGGACTTTCGGATTGATTTGAAGTCAAATCGATAATCAGAATAAGAAAGTACGACATTATGCACATAATCACTGATATCATAAAAGGTCGAAAGAATTTCATGTGCCGAAAAGTAACCGAATAATGTGTACAGTAATTCGATAGGTAATCGATCGAAAAAACAGTAGTTAACCATAATAAGTGATTACTTGAGACTATGAAGAGTTTTGCTTTTCAAGTAAAAATATAATTTCTTTATGTGTAACTAGGAGATTTTGTTGACTGCGACAGCACACAGCATGTTACGATAGTTAAATAAAGAACTATTTTACAATTCTCTTTTTTCATTTTTCTTCAACATTACAGAGCTCAAGGAGAATTGAAAGAAAAACATAAAACTAAAAAGAAACAAACAAATTCATCGAGAGGTTTCGAAAGCAATGACTTCATTGCGCACCTTGAAGATGTGGATGTAGGTGAAGCTAAGACTCACACTCCGCACAAACCTAACACTGAACCAAACACAAGATAAACCACGAACCATGTTATGACCAACCGTAATCTTTCACATCACTAAAAAGCAAGCTCTACTATACAAATAAAAATCATCCATAGTCCCTAAATATTAGTCAGTGTTTTGAATGGATCCAGCTGCACACTTTGTGCCATTCAAAACCGTTCCTAGTATCAAAAAATTCTGCATACCAGAAGACGTAGCTTTTGTGACACTGACATGCGAAGAACCATTTATCCTAGATCGTGTTTGAACAATGTGTATTCAAAATGAAGTTGTTTATAGAACAGCACCAGTAGCAGAAACAGTTGTATTTGATGAAATTAAAACATTGGCAGTAATCTCATCTCTCGATGAAACACCGAAAAAAGGTTACACATCAACTACCAGAACCTTTAAAGGATACAAAATGCATAGAATCAAACCTGTGATAGCTCTACAAAAAGAAATACAACAACACACTCAATATCTGTTGTTGCGAAAACATGAACCAATCGCCCGTAAACTGCTGTTGGTTTCACTCAGATTGCAACTGAAAAGCCTTAATTGCTAATACCCAATCCAGTTAGAGTTGATACTTGAAAATAGGTGCCTGCTGTATTTAATTGCAGGATATAGCCATTATTGTATCCACTGATATAACTAGTGCCGTAGTTTGATAGACTTCCAACTATAAAATTTGGTCTTTGGTCTCTGATTGAGTTCTCGAATGGGTAGTAGACAAAGAGAGTAGCATCTTGTAAGATTTTACATGCTGGTGTAACACGCATTGTTATACAGAAATAATCGGGATAGCCATTATAATAAACTTCTTGAGCAGCACCACCATTGATAGGACCACTGTCAACACTGGCAATGCGATTAGCTACCTTTAGATAGCCAGTTCCTGATGTACTAGCATATATATCTAAAAAAAGAAAATATAAAAACTATGTGACATTATACGAAATTCTATCCGCACAATAAATCGAGAACTTGATGCTAGAGCTAATATAGAATATTTAATGCAATTCATTCAGACTAACATGCTAAATTTGCACCAATTTAACCGTAACTAATAGTTTGTGCAAGTTTGAGCGCATTATATAATGCAAATAAATCAAATTTTCTTCACAATAGAGTCTTAATTTTTACTAAAGAAATTTGTCTTTTTAGGAAAGACATGAAGAAAAAAGATTCCTTCTGAATCAGCGTCGCGAACTGTATTGAATACAAGACAATTTAATCAAATATATGATATTATTTTTCTAGTACCTTAAAATGCCTTACTTTCCAGTTTAGCTCTTAAATGACACTGTAGAATAAAGTATTAATTAACTAGGTTTATAACAGTCAACCATTTGTAACAAAAACAGAAACTCTAACACTGTTTTTATCATGAAGCCTGGGTATGGACGAATCTGGGCGCGGAGTGTCAGACCTCTCATCACCCAGACGCATGCTCACACCGTTAGTGTCGTGAGAAACAAACAGCAAGCAATGAAAATCAAAAATTATGGGCAGAATAAATCTGTGTGTTCCTTCCTGACAAAAATGTTTTTTAGTACTAGTACAAAGATCAATGACTAATTAAAAGGAAAAATATAATGTCTTCTGCTGGAAGATTTTTTGTTCAATAGCAACAAGGCGAGTCATGTGAAGACTTTTCATTCGTAATGCATTTGTTTTTCAAGTTGCGGCTTACAAAAACATCAGTAATTTCTGAGATATTCTAGTATACAAAAGTTCATAGCAGTCCAGTAATCTTTTTTTCTTATGGATATAGGTTTCTAGTATTATATTACAACTAGTTTATCTAACTTAGGATAGAATAAATGCGGAAACCTCGGATTTAAATCTGAGTGTTGTGTGTACTTGAAAAAGTAAAAATAATTGACGACAGATTGATTTTGATCAATCTGTCTAAAAACATTCATCCTTGAGCGCACTAAGGAACTGCCCCTTAGGCCCTGCGGATGCCCTCTTTTTGCCCCATAGGACGTGGCGAGGAGTTAGTTCCAGAAGCTTTATTCATTCGCATAAATGAAAACTTGTTTGTTTTAGTTGAATCTTGTTATAAACTCATATTAATCAAGTCAAAATGTGGTACAAATTGTTGAGGATTATCTTGAAAAGGTAAAAGAGCATCATAATGAGTACCGTTGTAATAAATACAAAATCCTAATTTATTCATATCGGATTTGTATCCTATATATTTTGAATGATTACCTGCTGTTCCTTTATTAAATCGATCGATTAATTCCTGTACACTAATATTCAATGGAATATAATGTCTATTTTTTGGATTGTTGTCAAATTGGATGTATGAATAGATAGGATGAGATAGAGCTATAGAAAGTGCTTGGATTTGAACTTCTCCGCCCCATATTGTATTCGTAGCAGTTCTTTTCA